CCCTCACCCGCCATGATTTAAAACGCCATGTAAACATACTGCAAACATTGTGTCAACTTATTTCGCAAGTATGGAGTGCTGCGATAGATGGACGGACGCTGAAGTGCAAGCACTTGTAGCAAATGTAGCACTGCCAGTTGTCGTTGGAGATTCTTAGTCCTCCTTCCCGTTCTTTCAATCGCTTTATGCAGCCTATACGTCGACATTTCATGTCCATTATTGTGAAACCCGCAAGACAACAAAAACACCGCTCCGATCACAGCGTCCTCCATCCTTCTGCTGTTAACGTTGTTCTTTGTTTACATTGTTGAACGCCGCGCACAAATGACGTCACTGTGTGTCTTACGTACACTGTCGGTGCGAATACAACCCTTTAAATGGTATTGGGAAATAGTTCGCGCAAAATTGTCCCAGTACTTTAGTACTGTACATTTAGTTCTGGAACTAAAGTGGTGTGAAAGGCCCTTTATGAGACAAGTCTCAGCTTTCAAATTTTTTTTATTTTTATTTATTCCATCAATAAATACCATTTTGTGGCTCTTTAATATTTTGTGACAGATAGTGTCTCAGTTCAAATGGTACTGGGAAATAGTTCGCGCAAAATTGTCCCAGTACTTTAGTCTGTACATTTAGTTCTGGAACTAATGCGGTGTGAAAGGCCCTTTATGAGACAAGTCTCAGTTTTCACATTTTTTTTATTTTTATTTATTCCATCAATAAATACCATTTTGTGGCTCTTTAATATTTTGTGACAGATAGCGTCTCAGTTCAAGCGGCACGTGAACCGATCATCTTTTCATATTTACTAGACAAAGCACGAAATAAACATGAATGAAAATCTGAAGGTATTTTATTTTAACTGTGGAAAGATTTTTCAAGTTTAAGTCCACCGAAGTTAATCGGTTTGTTTGTTGGACAAAATGCCAGTCAATCAATCTCCCTGCGAAGGGTCAATTCACAAAGCGGATCACTGAGTGCTGAAAGTGTAACGGTCATCAGTGCCCTGCTGATTCTATAGCTGCCCAGTACTTTAGTACTGTACATTTAGTTCTGGAACTAAAGTGGTGTGAAAGGCCCTTTATGAGACAAGTCTCAGCTTTCAAATTTTTTTTATTTTTATTTATTCCATCAATAAATACCATTTTGTGGCTCTTTAATATTTTGTGACAGATAGTGTCTCAGTTCAAGCGGCACGTGAACCGATCATCTTTTCATATTTACTAGACAAAGCACGAAATAAACATGAATGAAAATCTGAAGGTATTTTATTTTAACTGTGGAAAGATTTTTCAAGTTTAAGTCCACCGAAGTTAATCGGTTTGTTTGTTGGACAAAATGCCAGTCAATCAATCTCCCTGCGAAGGGTCAATTCACAAAGCGGATCACTGAGTGCTGAAAGTGTAACGGTCATCAGTGCCCTGCTGATTCTATAGCTGAAGAGCTCCAAACTTCCACTGACATGAAAGGTACTGTATGTAATTTTTTTTACTGTACCAAAGCATAAAAACACCAAAATATATTCGTAGATATTTAGGAAACATGCCAAGTTCACATACTTGTTTCTCTGATAAACAACGCTAAAGCCAGTTATTCTACTTTGAAAATGTGCATTCCGTGTCGGAATACCTGCTTTTGTTTTGGTCTGTGTGATTCCGCCCACAGCCAGTTTAACCAATAGTATTTTGACACTCCAGGTTGCCAGAGAGCGGAAAACAGTGTATCGCAGCCATGGAAGCCAGCAAATGAACTGGCTCAGAGATTGCAGATTCTACCCGACCTAAAAAGCCTTGGCATCAATCTAAAAACCTCTAAGACCAGAGGCATATTAAAAAAAGGATAAATAAACTCATCAACTTACAGTGTAAGACTCACTGCTTCCATTGTCGAATGCGATTATTCCCATTGCATGTCTTCAATCTGACAACTCGCTGGAGCGACGCGTCTGAGGAGGAGGGGCTGGGAGAAACAATATTTTGAATTTGGACTGCAGTACCCATTTCAACCGCCAGCTGTCAATATTACATGCTGCACCTTTAACATTAGCACAAAAACTGTGCGGCAGGAGCTTCATGGAACGGGTTTCCATGGCCGAGCAACTGTATGCAAGCCTCACATCAACAAGAACAATGGCAAGCATCAGATGGTGAGTCACGCTTCTCTGTTTGACAGCCTGATGGGCGAGTCTGGGTTTGGCAGATGCCAGAAGAAAGTTAGCTGCCTGACTGCATTGTGCCAGCTGTAAAGTTTGGTGGATAAAGATATGGCTGAATGAGTTTGGTGTGGAAGAACTTGACTGGCCCACACAGAGCCCTGACTTCAACCCCATCAAACACCTTTGGGATGAACCTGAACAGAGATTTTGAGTCAGGCTCTCGTCCAACATCAGTGCCTGACCTCACAAAGGCTCTACAGGATGAATGGGCAAAAATTCCCACAGAAACACTCCAAAATCTTGTAGAAAGCCTTCGTTGAAGAGTGGAAGCGGCAAAGGGGGGACCAACTCAATATTAATGTCAACGTATTTAGAATGCAATTTCATTAAATTCCCTGATGGTGTAATGGTCAGGTGTCCCAATACTTTTGTCCATATAGAGTCCTTCATCTGCGTGTTTCAGATTGCTAGGACCCCATTCATTTAAGATAAACAAGTCTATCTTTTCCTAGATAATGTAACTCTGCCATAGCAACATTCAACTTAATTGACATTATATGCATTTTATGCACCACTTCTAGTCACTTTTACCTTTGTACAGTGAAATTCACCAGGCAACGCATCATCTCAACAGAAATCGTCATGATCAGGAATTTACATGAGGCAAACAAACTTCCCCATTTGGATTTTGAATTGGATTCAAGTTGAACTCGTATGCAAATTCACTGTATAAACCAACATAAAGCTGCTTATTCAGTGTGATGCCCACCACACATTATAGGTCTTCTTTGTGTGTGTGTGTGTGTGTGTGTGTGTGTGTGTGTGTGTTGTTATTTATGGATCCAATGGTCTTGTTAATGTAAACACCTTGAGTCCAACACAAATTTCCCCTTTGGGGACAATAATAAAGTCTATTTCATTTGATCAGATTTCATTTCTTGGGTCCTAAGATCTGTACTTGAGCAAATCACTTCTTACTCAACATGCATAAATAAATTTTAAAATAGAAAAACCCAATTTTAATAGATTTAAGAGATTTTTTCCCCCAACTCAACTGGACCTGACTTTCTGAACTGGTTTTGACAAAGACTAAAATCAGAGACTACAGATCAGAAACAGTAGGTGAAGATTTAAAAGTGTGGCTATCTTCCAATCTTATTTGAAGATGAAATTCATTCTTTGATCCTTCTTTGTGTAGGATATCAGACCGAATCAGACAATCTAAGATTTGGTCAAAACATGGGTGAAACATGAGGAGCCGAATTCCACAGAGGCCCAAGACAACAGGATGTTCATAAATCAGACCCTAGCACTAGCCAGTCTGAAGCAAGCCTAACCAACTCTTTCACAGAACAGCTTTCAACATTAACACAAAAGGAACACACTAATCATAACAACTCAGGAAGGAGATTGTCAATTTTAGGGAACTAATCATTTCTATGCATAACTCCATATTATGTATGTAACCCACGTATCTATGCATTACTCCATATTATGCATGTAACCCACGTGTGTGTCTATCAGGTCTTAATCATTTATTATGTATGTATTTTGAAAAACTATTGAATAGTTTATAGGATCATATTCATTATTTGGGAGGTGTCCAAAAGCCCAGTTTAAGTACTCAGGACACCATAAAATCACGCTCTTCAACCCTTCTCGCCCCTTCTTTGCTCGCTCTTTGTTTCACTCTCTTCTTTTTAGTCATAGCTTTGAGCTATGCTTTTTAATCATGCTTCTTTAGCCTTTTGAGCGTGCTCTGGCTTACACGCCAGCTCCTCCAAAACCATGAGGAGAAACGCCACCTAGTCTCGTCAAACTTTACTTCTATTTCTTTACTTTAGTTTATTTTATTTTCCCATGCTTCTTTAGTTTTTGAGCGTGCTCTGGCTTACACGCCATCTCCTCCAAAATCATGAGGAGAAACGCCACCTGGTCTCGTCAAACTTTACTTCTATTTCTTTACTTTAGTTTCTTTTATTTTCCGTTGAGAGTTTCGTGTTATGAGTTAAGTTTTGCCTAACGACGTGCCTCAAGTGCCGTCTAAAACTTCAACCAGGCCACAACTCCGCGTCGTCAGCAAACGCCCAACCACTGGCTTCCCAAGACTGAACTTCCAGCCAATCAGCGACCTCGGGAAACCCCTTTCGGCAACCAGACAAAGAACAAGTACAACGCAAGTACCTCCAGATTCTAGCTGAACTGGTGCATTTAATATAAATTTTAACCTCATTGAGGAACTCAATGCGAGGGTTAATTAAGTGATTGATGGTTGTTCAGATCTATGCAATTGCACATATTGCTGTAAACTTGGGATTTCACATTTTCATTCTCTTAAAACTCATTCTTTCCTCACTTTCTCTCTTCCTGCAAACTTGTGTGAATGCGTGTGTTTATGTATTAGATTAGTTTATATGTCTTAGATTTATCCAATAAAGTCTTATTCATATTGAAAAGAGAAGTATCTTGTGTTTTGTGCTCACAAGTTAATGTCTTAAACTGCCGATCTTGTTACTGTGCTAATAAATAGTGTTTTCACTATACTTTGGATATTAATATCCATTGCAGAGTTGATGTTATACGGCTCGTTCAATGAATCGCTGGCCGTCTCAGTGATCAGCCGTAAAACAGTGATTCTGTCCAAATTCCCTTTAAAATCTTAAATGATTCCCTTTGAGCTAAATTGACCTGTTTCCCTTACATTTGTAATGTTTATGTTAGCATATGACTGCTATTTAATGAATATACTTGCACATATTTTGGTAACAGAAACCCACATCTCCCCTTTCAGATTATTTCCTAATGAGACCATCATGCATTGCGTGCATGTCAGCAGTGAAATGCATGTCCTCACCCACAGTCAGGCAGAACTGCAGGACGTGTACCGCTCCTTCCTCCTTCAGGAAACTCATAAAACGAAACAACAGATCCTGTTGCTCTCTGATCTCCTTTAAATCCAACTTCAACACCTGACAGAAGAACAAACAAAAGAAATGACCTGTAAGGTTTTGTTCAAGATGCAATAACTCAAAAAACCCTGAAATAATATCATAAGTACACTTTGAAATTGATCAACCTTCTCACTACAACTCTTTTCCTTAGACGTCTTGATAAAACCTGAAATCGTAATATTAAGGTGGCCAAAGTACACACCGAGGATTTTGTGTTGCGTGGGTCTGCAAACTTCTCCAAGAAGGGCACCAGCGCAGATGGAGGGTCAGTCACTGGCTCAGGCTAACAGCACAAATGACAGAAAAAAAAGAAGAAGAAAAAACATGTTTAAAAGGCAGGAAAGTCTGATTGACCAGACTATAATTAATTTGGTTGAATCACTCACTGGAGTATCATCAATGAAAATGAGCACCATGTGATTCACTGTGTCCTGGAAAACAAAACAAAAAAGTGATTCATGAATATGATTAACAACTACAAGAAAAACAACATTTATTTACATTTATACGGTGTATCAAATGCAGCTATTGCAAAAAAAAAACACTAATACTGTAATCAATTTAATTTATTAATGAAAAAACACTAATACTGTAATCAATTTAATTTATTAATGAAAAAAACACTAATACTGTAATCAATTTAATTTATCAATGAAGAACAAAGATAAAATATATCTATGGTTTAATGTCCTCATTTAAGCTGTTTCACTCACAGGATCAGCCACGAAGTCCATTATTGGCAGAAAAACAGAACCTGTCATGACCTCTCGAATCAGCAGGGCCAAAGATCTGAGAACGAACCACAAAGCTTAAACGAATATAGCACAGAAACATCAACTGATCCTCATCACACTTTTCCACACAGCAATTCACACTTAGAGACTTGTGTAAGATGGATCTCTTACTGTTCAAAGCTTTAGGGTAATTAGATTTTTTTTTTTTTAAGAAATTAATGCTTTTATTGAGAAAGGACGCATTAAATTAATCAAGTGACAGCAAAGACTGTTACAAAAAAATATCTGCTTCAAATAAATGCTGTTCTTTTGAACTTTCTATATATTAAATAATACTGAAAAAATATATATTATGATTTTTACAAACATATTAAGCAGCGCAACTGATTTTAACGCTGAGAATAATAAATGTTTCTTGATCACCAAATAAACACATTAGACTGATTTCTGAAGGATCATGTGACACTGAAGACTGGAGTAATGACGCTGAAAATTCAGCTTTGCATCACAGAAGAAATTACATTTTAAAATATACATCACAATATTACTGTTTTTACTGTATTTTTATCAAATAAATGCAGCCTTGGTGAGAATAAAGGCCCGTTCACACCAAGAGCGATAACTATAAAGATAACTATATTAACGTCCACACCAGCGGACGATATCGTCCGTTTATTCTAAGCGCACGCGCGTCTGCCGCTTTAAATTCTCCAGCTCGTGACAGCAGGATTGATTCTGATTGGCTGTCAATGTTTTTATCGTTCATCAGCTGGAAAAAATCGTTCTGAAAGTGATTTGCCTTTATCGTTATAGCTGTGGTGTGGACGTTTTTTAAACTATTATCTTTATCGTTATCTTTAGGGATGCGCCGATCCGATATTCATATCGGGTATCGGCTCCGATAGTGCCATTTTTCTCAGATCGGGTATCGGTCAGAGAGAGCCAATCCAAATCCAAGATTTAAAAAAAAAAAAAATTTTCTCGATTGTGCGAATTATTCTGTGTTACTTCTGAAGCCATACGATAGCTTAATGTGAGCTACATATGAATATTTAAGTCCTTACATTAAAGTTCACACAAACTCTTTTCTCCGCTGTGGCTGTCAGTCATTCGTTCAGCTTTAAACCTTGCTCGCGTTCGGTTACAGCAGTCAGCTCGGTACAGCTCTCTCCAACATCATTCTGTGTTCCCATTATACTGGATTTGTAAATACATGTCGATGATTTTGCAAAAAGGACTTTATCTTCTTGCCGGAGTTTAATGTTTTGTTACTTGCTACCGGGTGTCTGTGAGAACAAAACACGGGCGTAGAAAAGACTATAAATAGTTTTTAACGTGCACAGTAACTGAAATTTAAAACTGTTAAAAGAAAGGCTCAATAACTGTTGCACAGATATAATACACTACGCATCGATTTCTCTTCCCTTTGTGCTTTGCACTTTTTAACATGAAGCATTTGACCAAAAATGTTGTTTTGGAATTTGTTTTTGCTTAATAATAAAAACCTTAATTTAAAAACTGCATGTTGTGTTCACTTGTGTTATATTTGACTAATATTTAAATTTGTTTGATGATCTGAAACATTAGTGTGACAAACATGCAAAAAAATAAGAAATCAGGAAGGGGGCCAACACTTTTTCACACCACTATATATATACACATATTAGTGCTGTCATACGATTAATCGCATACAAAATAAAAGTTATTGTTTACATAATATATGTATGTGTACTCTGTTTATTAATTATGTATATATAAATACACACACACACATGCATGTATATATTAAATATATTTATATATAATATAAATTTATATATAAATATAGACATGTAAATACATGTAAATACTTTCAAAATATATACATGCATGTGTGTGTATTTATATATACATAAATATACACAGAACACACACATATATATTATGCAATCAAAAACTTTTATTTTGTATGCGATTAATCGTTTGACAGATATATATAAAATGGACCCCAAACTGTTGAGCAGTAGTGTGAGTGTGTGAGAGATGCACCTGCAGTCTGTAGCTTTAGGGGGCATGACGTAAGGAAACAGCAGCTCTGTGAGCTTCCTCAAGTACAGCAGCTCATCTTTGCGGCTCCGCAGAGCCACATGCAGATCGGAACCGTATTCAGCTAGTGCTGCCTGCTGGAGACCCTCTGTATTCTTCACTGCTCACACCATTTGAACAAAAAAAGATGGTTAACAAAATTAATTAAACTGATGGTGCCACAAATGCAAACTGTCCTTTACACTTAAGATGAGAGATGCTCTATAGGTGAATGGAAGTCCCACAGTTCAGTTTAAAGAACCAACCATCTCTTGATAGCTTATTTATTTAGTTCTTGTAATTCTAGACCGAAGCTCCTCTGATATTAAATGATTTCATCACAGGACGCACCTTTCTGCTGTGCTTTTGCAATGATCTCAATGTGCTTCATAGCGGCCTTCATCATTTTGTCCATCAAAACTAAGGGAACATCCACCTACAAGACAGTTTTAGTCAGTATGCCACTTTGTAAATCTATAGAAAGCTACAGTATGTAAATTGTGAATTGTGTGAAGGTGTATGCACTCTTTGTGCTCGGTGAGCCAGAACTGCAGCAAAGAAATGGATGGTTTGTCTCAGTTCATCGACACATGCCTCATCACCTGTAATATCTCTAATGGCAAAACATCATAAAAGAAAAAAAAGTTGAATATTGCTTACATTTTTCCAGCTAAAGCATGGAATAAGAGTAACTTTTGCCTTTAAAGCAGACACACCTGTACCATGGGTATACAAAGTTCTCTAGAACTAACTCCAAAACCTGAAGATCAGTCAAACAAAGGATTTATTAGTTTGATTTATTAATTTGCTTATATATCATTTTACTCATGACTGGAATTATGGCTCTACCTCTGAAATACTGGCATCCACTTTGGACGGCACTTTTAAGTCCAGCCATGGCTGATAGTTCTCCAGCAGAAGGGTAGGTCTTTGGAATAAAAACACAAATAATTACATTTATGTCATCATTATTTAATCGATTTTTTTTTTCAAAATACTAAACAACTGATCTTGCCCTTTAATTTGTATTGTAGAATGCTACAGAATTATTTGTTTGGTTTGTCTTTTTCAAGCTAGAATTTTTCTTTGCATTTTAAGTTTAAACCCAAGATGAATAGTGTTTAAAAAAGTCTTTAAAACCCAATATTGTGTTCTCACTCCTTGCTTAAACACAGAGATACTAATTGGTAGCTGCACTTAAATCATCAAAAAATTAACAATGAACCTTAAATATAGGATTTTTTAAATATAGGGTTTAAATGTGCTTACTTGTCCAAAAAAAACAGACCCAGAAGTTTTGTATCACCCTGGTTCCCCTGACATAAACCCATGAATTTTTCCATTTGGCTTTTGGAATGTTGCAGAAAATAAGCTTTTGACCAACAAAAGTTTCTGATTCTTGGACGTTTTGCTCATCATGATAATCCAGAGCTTGAACACAACTATGAATTTTGAAGCCAAAATTCATTAGCCATAATTAAAAAGCTAAATGTAAGCTATAAATGGACTACATTGTGGTCGCACGACTTCAACATCACTAAGCTTCCAACAACTCTTTTAGTCTTAATTTAAAAAACATTTTCCCTGAAAGATTTTATATCATACCTGTGGCGTTTGCACTGGTTTTTCCCACATACTGCACAACTGTGACCCAGCGGGAATAATTCTTGCTGCTTCTGTGGCTGAGGATGCACAGACATACAGTATATTAATCATTAATACAGTACAGACATTAAAGTCTCAAAAGGGTTTAAAAGACACTAAATATTCAGTAATATTATCACTTTGACAGTACTGACACTATTGGATGACAACAAAACTTGAACTGAATAATGACACTGTTGTCTTCTGTAGATCTGCTTTATCGCTGAAACACATTTGTTTCATAATTGACAAATCAACACGGTTATTGAACTGAACTGAATCAATGACTTGAGCTGTTTAATTACACTATTGAGAGCTGCTTATAGCTGAAATGAACTGAATTGTTTCATAATTGATTTATTGAACTGATCTGAATCAACACCGAACAGACTGGAGCTGAATAATGACACTATTGACTTTTTAGAGCTGCTTTACCGAATTTGTCTCATATTTGATGAAGTTTGCATCACTGATAGTTGTTTTTATTACCATGACGCCGCTTTGAAACAATCTGTATTGGATAATGCATTATATAAATAAAGGTGACTTGGATTCAATATAATGCTGATAATATATACAGAATGCAAACCAAAGTTGTAGAGTGTCACTGTCTAACTGCAGGCCATCATCACCAACACATGAAATGGGCTCAAGGTCATCAAGATTTGACCGGGATGATTGGAAGAAAGTGGCCTGGTCTGACGAATCAAGATATATCTTCTATATTAATTGCCTACATAACACTATATACTCAAATAGCTTATATATATATATATATGAAACACTATCTATATCCAAATATCCATGCTTTCATGCTGTGGTTACAGGTAGCCTTGAGTGAGAGCTTAGAAGAGATGTTATGTTCATGGATAAGACAGGAGCTGAGATCATCTCAAAATGTGGGTTTATATGTGATGTGGGGTAGCTAGTGGTCACCAGAGATGTTTAAGACTGCCTACAAGAATACAGAAAATTATGGTTGTCGGTAACAAAAAGGCATAGGTGGACTTTTATAATTTGGTCAAAGTTTTGTGGACACACAAAGAAAAGAAAGACCAGCACAAGATTAAAAACTCCCAATCTGAGAGGCATATTAATGGGTTTAGTGATAAACTGAAGGAAAAAATTATCATGCTAGCGACTGTTACGACCAAAGACACATATTTATGTAGTTTTATTTATTTAAATGTTGTTATAATGTGTTTGTGTCTAGATGGTGTGTGTGGGGTTTTCTCCTGCTATTATGTGCACTTGCACGCCTCTATCTTTTTTCAATTGCCTCTCAGCTCAGAGAATTACTGTAATTACTGCCCTAGCTACGAGTGATTCATGTGGTGCACATACAAGAATGCAGAAGACTTCAGACAAACAAATTCCTTTCACCCGCTCATAAGTTGTGAAAAACTCTGTAGGGAGTTGGGAACCAGGCATATTATTTTTCTCCTTTTTTTGATTAGCACGCGAGTTAGGGAAGTTTCTTTGTTGTCCTTTTACTTTACTAGTCAGTTATCTACTGTAAATAGTTCTTTGTTATTTCGCCCTTTCCCTTTCCTGAGGATTTTGGGTTTTCTCTGCTTTATTGTTATAACTTAGTGCAGTAACAAGATGCAAGATCTACAGATACAACAGTGAACATCTGAAAGTGAGCTGCAGACTCTCAATGGAAATCTTATGTGCGCTCCAGAAGCTGCAAGAGAACATTATATGGCACATTATAGTTCCATCCCAAAGAGGAACAAAATCACTTTCACAGACTTGTATCTTAACTGTTCCCTGCTGGTGAAACGACCTGCCCAAGAAACGGCGAAAGACATCTCCATCTACACTTGACCCTCTAACACTAGCACTCTCTATTCTATCTGCTTGTCTTCTTTTTAATTATTATAACATAATAATAACAACTTGACCCTCTAACACTAGATCTGCAGTATTCTACTTCTTTATTCTTTTTTATTATTATTAAAAAAAAACTTGCTAAATGAGCTGCATTAGGCTAAACTTGGACTTGTCATAGCACTTACTGTATATATTGCTGCTCTTGGTTTGTTTGCTTGTATTGTCCTCATTTGTAAGTCGCACTGGATAAAAGCATTTGCTAAATGATTAAATGTAAATGTAAATATGCTCCCCCAGTTTCCGCTCAGTATCCAGATCACAGTGACCTCAGAATGGTGCAGGCCATGTTTGAGCATTCTAAGGCAGACCCAGATACAGATCAGGAAGATGACATGGATTCCTTCCTGCCTGAGACCATCTGGGGGCCAGAAGGCCAGGAGTGAAAGGAGATGCTCAACTGTGCCCCCTCACGGCTAATAGCAGTACTAAAAAGAGCGAAGACGGAAAGGGAGCTGGGGAAATTATATCTGGTCGCACTGCGAGTAGGGGCCTGCATGATCAAACATTTAGGTGAGATAATTATATTTTGGAAAATGTCAAAAAAAATCCTACAAAAATCCTGATTGGAGCACCCTTAATCACTAATTATTTACTACAATTTTATCTAAAAAAAAAAAAAAGGACTTTATCGTGCACAATCAAAACCCAAAATAGGCTCAGGTGCAAGCCAAAAAATAAATAAATAAATACATGTAGATTTCCGTATACTGAAATGAAAGCTCCAGAAAGTTTTGATTGTAATAAAATTCTGGATATTTAATTTAAGGGTGCAAACATCTTCCTTTATTTTAAGACTGAGGCTCCATCTCAGTAGTTAAAGGCCACTAGTTCTGTTATTATAAAGCATTATCAAGAGAAGGGAGATGTGGTGTGTAAATGCATATTCTGTGATTGTTCTACAATACCATGTTTTGGCTATTTTGATGCTTATTGTTCACATTTGAAATATTGATTGAACACTGGAGTAAGGCTACCATCCTGAAGCTTTTTAGACATAAAAAATATATAGCAATGATCACACACACACAAAATAATGCAATAATAATAATAATAATGCAAGCACACACATTTTTGACAAATGTATACTGAAGAAAACGGAAGAAACGGAAAGTCTTATGAGTTTATGTAACTAAACAATCTCTTATAACAGACTCTCATTATTGCACTCCTGGCGTCTGACATTCCTCAAATCTGGATGGTTTTAAAGTTTGAATGACCTGTTTTTACTAATACTTACTTTCCTCTCTGTCTTTATTGAGATGAGAACATTTGGCAGCAGATATTCAGGACTGAGGGAGCAGTAGAATGTGATCACTCCAGCCAGAAACAACCAGAATATCAAGAGAATATGGAGATACCTGGAAAAAGTGGAACGATAACATATAAAAGACACTTAACTGCATGCCGGGAAATACATTTGTTAATCAGCAGTCAAAACAGGGATCAAAAAACCCTGATGGACACTAAAAGTGGAATTTAGAGAAAAAAACAGATCATGCTGCAGTCAGAATATGTCTTGATTAAATGTGTGTGTCAAGATACTCACTGGTTGAGGATGATGGTGGAGGAGATCATAAAGGTGAAGATACAGAAAATGACCGGATATTGACGAGCAACATCCTTAAACACATGTAACCGCAGACCTCTCCTCACACACGCCAGAATGGAGTGAGGGTCTGACATTATATCTAAACCAAGAGAATCAATCAGAAAGTATCACACCACGCTTATTGTTTTGGTACAATATTGGGCTGATATTTGATATTGTGTATCCTGGTACTAAATATCCATATTCATGTATTTACATGCCAACGTTACAATTCCAAAACAATCATGATACTACCAGAGTAATACCATAGTACTATACCTATATATCTTTTATACAGGTGCATCTCAATAAATAAGAATGTCATGGAAAAGTTCATTTATTTCAGTAATTCAACTCAAATTGTGAAACTCGTGTATTAAATCAATTCAATGCACACAGACTGAAGTAGTTTAAGTCTTTGGTTCTTTTAATTGTGATGATTTTGGCTCACATTTAACAAAAACCCACCAATTCACTATCTCAACAAATTAGAATATGGTGACATGCCAATCAGCTAATCAACTCAAAACACCTACAAAGGTTTCCTGAGCCTTCAAAATGGTCTCTCAGTTTGGTTCACTAAGCTACACAATCATGGGGAAGACTGCTGATCAGACAGTTGTCCAGAAGACAATCATTGACACCCTTCACAAGGAGGGTAACCCACAAACATTCATTGCCAAAGAAGCTGGCTGTTCACAGAGTGCTATACGAAGCGCAGGTCTGATATAAACTCTAAAAACATGTCAACACATCCTGACACGAATGTTTTGATCGTTCAGCTGATCAGATTAGTTACTAATCATCACGCGAGCTGCACTTCCGGGTTTAACGTGAAGGCTGCCGTCGTTTTCAAAATAAAAGTCCGGCCCCTGACTGAACAAATAGCGATTCTCTCATGGGAGCAAGATATTAATTCTCTAACAAAATCATAACGTAATGTATGTGTAATTGATCATTCATTCATAATAGCTGTGGTTCCCGCGGTTTATCATCTGCTCGAGCCAAAGAAAACATCTACCCTCATGAGGTACTTAGTCACATTCCCGCAGACCGTCATGATATCGCTTACAAATATGAAAAAATAATCACCACTTTTCACTATTTGGGCTCTGGTAGTGCTTGCTTCAGAAAATGGGATTTGTCCATCTCATTATATAGCTATAAGCTGTTTTTTCAGAATTTGCTGTTACCAAAATGTGTTCGAGTATACTAAAACCCTGATATGTGTAATGAAACATGTTATTATAATATGTAATATAATGAAAACCTTAAAAATTAGACAAAAATAGAAATACACCAAAATGGGAACATGGTACAGGTTTACAGATTTAGCCTAAATTAGCAGGTAGTTTTATACAAAATGTTGGTTTATGTTAAACTTATGCATATATATTTATTTATATCCCTGTTGAAAAAAAACAGCATATGCTGGTTAGTTATGTTTTAACGCTGGGATGCTGGTTTAAGCTGATCCTTTCCTGGTTTAAGCTGATCCTTTCCTGGTTTAAGCTGATCCTTTCCTGGTTTAAACTGGTCCTTTCCTGGTTTAAACTGATCCTTTCCTGGTTTAAGATGATCCTTTGCTGGTTTAAACTGATCCTTTCCTGGTTTAAGCTGATCCTTTGCTGGTTTAAGCTGATCCTTTCCTGGTTTAAACTGGTCCTTTCCTGGTTTAAGATGATCCAATAACTTGTATATAAAGTTATCATATTAACTTTGGTTACATTGAGGTAGCCATATGAAATAATAGTTTTTCTTTCATATTAATAGTTTCTTTCTTTCTTTCTTTCTTTCTCTTTTTCACCAAAGAACATGGGATTTCAGATTTATGCTTTAAAAGATTTTGTATACCAGTGATTCTCAATAACCACACAAGGGGGCCTCAGCGAACCTCTAATGGGGCTGCAATTCTTTTAAAATCTAACAGAATAAAGGGGCATGTCTTGCTTAATGTCTGTCTAAATTCTGCAGAGATATTATTAGTTAGAAATCTTAACATTTGACATCCAAGATGCATGGACAATGAAAGTGCTTAATGTACTAAATAAGCAACCAGCTTTCTCTCACACTTCACTTGTCATGAACACTAAAAGTAGATCTATGGTCAAAGCAACAATACCATAATATAGACAATATTTGTATGTTTACCGAGTTATTTCTCTGTGGTAAAAAGCTTATTGTAAAACTTCTCTGCTCACTTTTTATACGTAAACATTATTTATGACTTGGACTGTCTCGGGCCTGTCTCAGCACATTAAAACCACGTCAAGTGCTTTTCTTATAATGCCAGCCTGTATGGAGTTTAAGGCTTGACAGAAATTCTGTGTTCCAATGTTGTTTATCTGAATATCAAGCTGTGTTTCGCTGTTCACTAATAATGGATTTCTGAAAAAATGAGAGTGTGAAAGTAAGAGAAAAAGTGCTTCATGTAAAAATATTGTCTTTCACCTTGGGTTATGTTGTCATTCCTCTGCAGATAGTGGCAGTGGATTGTGTTTATGACAAGAGTGAGAGAAATTTGGAATGTTCTAGTACATTAAACATCAAACTACACGTTTTTCAAATGAAGCGTGTGGCATATCTCCCGGCGTTGTGCACAATCACTGGCCATGGAGCCAACAACACCCTGCTGTTACATGGACACACGCATTTCATCAGATGAATATGCCATGTGTTTACTATTTCACTGAAGATGGATTAAAATGATGGTAATGTTCATCTTAAAATGTTTATTTGTTACGTTTCTTTGTTAATGCTGTTACAGTGGGATGTTTCATGTCAGATCCAGATCAAGTCATCAGGGATTATTTTGTCATGATAACTCTACATTATCCTTTACATAAAAATGGATAAAAGAACTGAATTTTTCACACACAAAAAAACAACAACGCATTGCCTAAGAACGGTGATTATACACTAGAGGGAACCAGAGACGTTATCAATATGTGCAACATGGTCTGGGTCTGACTCCATACTGATTTGACACAATGATTTGCAGTTTTAAATAACAGTATCCCAATACACAGTTTAGGTCAGAACAGACTTTATTTAAAATAAAAAATAAAATAAAAACTTGAAATTGTGATACATACGTGTGCAAGCAGCTTCTGTATTTTAAGACATCACTTCGAGACAGACTTTTTCAAGAACTACTTTGGGACAAAAGCCACTGTGACGTTTTATGATTTCTAAGCTTCAATACTTAAGTAGATACATTTCAGGTAAAGGTAGTTAGAATGCACCTTTTGAACAGTGCAAACAAAAAGCACCACCACACCATTTCACGGTTTAAGAGATATTACTAAACAATCATGATATGTACATTTCATGTTAATTTCCTACAAGATTACAAACAAATTTTGATGAACAAATATTTATTTTTAGAATTTTAATTTTTCTCTGGGCTTTGTGCATATTGTGAAATGAATTTTACTTTACATCTCAGAGAAATGCATCATAAGGATGACTAAATAAAAATGAACAATCAGATTTAAATCCGACACAGTTATTTCAAGTCACTGTATTATCTGTGACGATAAACCACAATTACAGGCCATCTTGTAAAAAAAAATTTAAATAGTTGAAAATAGTTTTTTCCTGACGCTCACAACAATAACACTAAAGCATCATGTAACGGACCAAATATATCTTAGTAAATTAGATTAAATACATTTGTTAACCTAACAAATGTCTCACTTTTCTTGCTTTCATTATTCATGTACTTGAGGAGCGACAGATCTTGCTCCTCTTATAATATTTTCATTTTCATAACATTTCTTTTATTGGCAAAACAAGACATCTCAAAAACAGAGATTATCTTATCTTTTGTCGTTTATCACAATGATGCTGGATACACTAAATCACCACAGAGCTTTACACATATTTACATAGATACCAATGTATGTGTGTATATATATATATATAATTGTATTAAAAAGATCATTAGCCCCTTATTCCCATGTGAGAAGATATCATTGTTCAAAAAACATAAATTCAAAGTATAAAAATATAGTAAACTTTCATAAAGCACGCACAACATCCACACGTTACAATTAAATATAAGGGCAATCAACAACAAAAAAGCCCCAACAAATTCATTTACTGGGTGAGAACCTCTTCTGAGAGAAAACAAAAAAAAATCAATGAAACGTCATAGTGAACACTTCATCAAACCAGTGGTAACTTAAGCAGCTTTGTGTTTTGAACTTTATGCATGGATACTTGCATGTACCTTTCCATGACCGGCAAGTAAACAGACATTCTTTTAAGACGAGGTGCATCCAAACAATCAAACAGCTTCAGCCGATGTCTCCGCTGAGACGGACATTGTCAATTTGGCTATTTTCACAGTGGTCTTCACGCAGCTCTCAGCCGCACGCTTGGCGGCGATGTGCTGGTTCCTCTGACAATCTGACTCCAGGCTGTTGTCCAGCTGCAGGGTCGTGCTGGAGGTGCTCCTCTCAGGGTTTGCAGGGTTGTAGGGAATGAGATGCTCTTCTCCTCAGTGCGCATCATATATGACGCATCCCATGCCACATGACCACCCACATACACCAGCATCTTTAATGTCAAAAATGAAAATAACTCAAAAGTGCAATGTATGTGCTGGGAGATGGTTAGGCTTGGTTGGCATATCTCCTGCTTGTCTATAATTTGATTTCACGGATTGCTTTATAAATTGGACAGGCAAAAGTTAGGACATTTTTAGACAGAATTGGAAAATGCAAAATTGCTACATTAAATAACTTTAAATAAAGAACAGATTATACAGCATTTATCCTTGTGAAAAAAAAGTAGTATAGGGAGTCGTACATTACATTAGCATTACATTGCAATAGTATATTAGCGGTATTCCAAAAATGCATAAATGCACCCCACAATTTAGTGATGCATCAATAGAATATCAAAAGCTTCTTTTTTTAAAGCCTTGGTCCTAGGCTGATATATAGGCTAGGCCTATCAATATCTATAATCTCACAACATTATAATCAGTGTTGGGGAAAGTTACTTTTAAAAGTAATGCATTACAATATTGCGTTACTCCATAAAAAAGTAACTAATTACGTTACTTAGTTACTTTTTATGGAAAGTAATGCGTTACGT